ATAATAATAATAATTTTTTAATTATTTTTCATTATGTGTGTATGTGTGTGTATATGGGTATGTGCCTGTGAGTGCAGGTACCCATGGAGGCTAGAGGCATTGGATCCTCCTTGGGCTGGAGTTACAGGTGGTTATGAGCTGTCTGATACAGGTGCTGGAAATTGAACTTGGGTCCTCTGGAAGAGCAGGATATGCTCTTAACCACAGATCATCTCTCCAGTCCCCCATAGAACATTCTTCAGAATAAAATGTAGATCAAAACTCATTCTCTTTCTTTGTGCTTAAATTTCTTGGGAACAAGGCTCCTCTATTTGTGGATGGGCAGAGAAGTTGGAGTCTCTTGCCATTTCCCTGGAATTTTTTGTTCTTTTCTGTTGTCTGAGACAGAGTTTCACCCTGTGACCCTGGCAATCACTATGTAGACAGAAGCAGCATTGAATTTGTGGTGCTCTTCCTCTCCCTGATGTCTGTCTTGGTCTCAAGTGCTTGGACTGCAGGAATGCACCACCATAACGTTCCTGGAGATGCTTTATTAGTTCATGGGATGCCGTCTTCATGACTCTAACAAGGCTGAGGCCAGTGGTGAAAAACCACACATAAATGCCGGGTTCTCAGAATGTCCCCAGCACCACAGTCACAGCGCTTCAAATGCTGGTTTCCCTGACCAGGAGGATGACACTAACCTATCCCTGAGAGCAGCTTGTAGGGAAACTGGTTCCCCACTTAGGAGTCTCTGAATCTCAATTTACGGAATGTGAACAGTGACAGAGCAAGGAGTTCCTGTTTCAAGTGGGCTGAAAGTCTGTAAAGTGGTCCACAGAAGCCTTGCATTAATGCGTTTTCATTCCTCCTCCTTCTGCTGATTCTTTCCTGAGGCAGCTTTAGCTGACGTCTCATTACTGTGTAGCCTCCTGTGAAAGGATTTAAAAAAAAAAAAAAAAAAAAAAAATGCAGCCTCTCCACCAGCAGAGGGCATGCTGGGATTAAAGGCGTGCACCACCACGCCTAGCTACTTTATATTTTTTCAAACCAACTTTTCCAAACTGTGCATATTTTACATTCACAGCACATGTCGGTTGGGACTCATCACAGTTCAAGGGCTCAGGAGCCACAGGTGGCTGCTAGCTATTGGACAAGACAAAGCAATTACTTCTTCTGGCTGAGTCACTGAATAGCAAGCTGGAAAATGTGGGTTTGGACAGGAAGTTAAACAGAAAAGCTGAACTAATTCTTTTATTTTCCCCAGCAGTGTCAAGGCTCAAACCCAGGATTTCAGGTGTTTTAGGCCAAGTGATCTACCACTGAGGGACAGCCCCAGCCATACACTCATAAAAAGAGGGGCCATTCCCATCAAATACAGCTTTTTTTTTTTTTTTTTTTTTTTTTGGTCTTTTTAAGACAGGGTTTCCCTGTAGCGCCAGCTGTCCTAGAACTCACTATGTAGACCAGGCTGGTCTTGAACTCACAGAGATCTACCTGCCTCTGCCTTCTGAGTGCTGGAATTAAAGATGTGTGCCACCATGCCCAGCAAATATAGCATTTAAAAATTTATTTATTATTTTTATGTGTATTTGTGTATTGCCTGCATGTAGGTAAGTGTACCCATGCCATGAAATGCCCATGGAGATCAGAAGAGACTGCTGGATCCCCTGGGACTGGAGTTACAGACAGTTGTTAGCTGCCATGTGAGTGCCGGGATTCGAACCTGGGTCTTCTGCAAGAGCCAGTGTTCTTAACCGCTGAGTCCAAATACAGCATTTTTAAAAAAAAATTATGTCATGAGTGTTTTGCCTGTATGTATGTACATCATGTTTGCCTGGTGCCAGAAGAGGGTGTCTAACCCTCTGGAACTGAAGTTACAGATGGTTGTGAGCTACCATGTGGGTTCTGGGAACTGAACCTCAGTCCTCTGTAAGAGCAGCAAGTGTTTTTAACCACTGAGCCATTTCTCCAGCCCCAACATTTTTTCACTAGCTTAAAACTACAACTTTGGCAGATTAGTAAAAACTATAGTGAAATATAAAGCTTCCCCTGGTTCCTTTGGAGTCGGGAAGAGCTTCTAAAACCATGACTACACTAAAAACTACTGAATCATATAATTTAAAGGGTGAATTGTATATTGTAGGGACTGTATCTTCCTCCTCCTCCTCTTCTTCTCCTTCTTCTTCTTCCTCCTCTTCCTCCTCCTCCTCCTCTTCCTCTTCTTCCTCTTCCTCTTCTTCTTCCTCTTCCTCTTCCCCTTCCCCTTCCCCTTCTCCTCCTCCTCCTCCTCCTCCTCCTCCTCCTCCTCCTCCTCCTTCTTCTTCTTCTCCTTCTTCTTCTTCGTCTTCTTGAGACAGGGTCTCCCTGTAGCCCCAGCTGGCCTGAACTCACTATGTAGACCAGGATGGCCTTGAACTCATTTTGTCTTTTTGAGACAGGGTCTCCCTGTAGTCCCAGGTGGCCTCACTATGTAGAACAGGCTGGCCTTCAACTCACAGAGATCCGTGGGTCTCTGCCTCCCAAGAGCTAGGATTAAAGGCATGCGCCACCACACCTGGCTAGGGGCTGTATCTTAATAAAAGTGTCTTTAGGGGCTGGAGAGATGGCTCAGTGGCCAAGAGCACTGACTGCTCTTACAGAGGACCAGGGTTCAATTCCCAGCACCCACATGGCAGCTAACAACCATCCATAACTCCAGTTCTAGGGGATCTGACACCTTCTTCTGACCTCTATGGGCATTGCACGACATGGGTGCACTTAACATACATGCTGGCAATACACTCATACTGGAGAGATGGCTCAGCAGTTAAGAACACTGGTTGTTCTTGCAGAAGACCCGGGTTTGAATCCAGCACCCATATGGCAGCTAACAAGTGTCTGTAACTCCAGTTCCAGGGGATCTGACGGTCTCTTCTGTCCTCATGGGCATTGCACAACACAGGTGCACTTACCTACATGCAGGCAATACACTCATACATAT